TAAATTTCATATTTTAGAAAATAAATCCTGTTTTACTGCTTCTCTTATTATATTTATTTATTATTTTATGTTAATTAATTATACTTTTATTAAAAAAGATTTGTAGATTAATTATTTTTTAATATATATAAATCGAGGAACATAAATGAAAATGAAGTAAATATTTTTTAAATAGCTACCAATATTTTTTGAAGATCTTTAACAAATATTTATAAAACTCTTTATTTAAACTAAATTCATTTTTTATCAAATATAATATTAAACAAAATTAATTAAGAAATAATATTCTATGTACATCTTGTTTAATATAAAACAGATGGTTATGATGTTAAAGCCATCATCAGAAAAAAAAATTTAAAAAGATTTGAACCTTATGACGCTTCATTTTTGTAGATTACTAAACTACTTAGAAATGATTCTTTTTTCCATACCTAAGTAAGATTCAAATCCAAATCACCTTGAATCTTAAGTTACTTATAATTTTTTATTAAATTGGTAAAGGGTTGCTCTTTGTGATATTTTGTTTATAATTAATATTAAAAAAACATTTGATTTTATCTTTAGTGTGGAGCTTAAAGCTTGATTGTTGAAAGAAGTATCCATACTTAAAATGAAATTTTCACTATAATTTTGTAAACAAAACCAAATTGTTCATTGTTTGGTAAAATTTGTATACAAGTTAAAATTGAATACTTGATTATAAAGTGAAGGGGGTACTAAATACTATTTTCATTATCAATAATAAAAGATGAGAATTTATTCTATATCCTTAAAGATTTAAACTTTGTGACAGTTTATTCAATTTCCCATATGCCAATTCTCTATCAATTACGTTCCGATAGAATATTTCACAAAGCATTATTCAAATTTTAACAAGATACTTTTTTATTTGTAGTAGAAAATCAAATTCAAAGTAAAAGAAATTCAATAATTGTTTTAATAAAGGTAATGTAATGCACCTTTCACATTAATAAGCAGATATAATTCCTCTGCATAGCTTCTCACAAATGCTAATGTCAGAGAAAATTGTGTGTCGATTGTATATATGATCATGGAGTTGATATTAAACAAACAGTTCCCATAGATAAATTTAAAGAGAAGGCTTTCCAACAATTAAAGGATCTCAAGCCTGCTAATACATCTGAGATTTCTAAGTAAAGATTGGCTTTTAAATCCCTTGTCTCACAAACTGAAATGATGCTTAAGAAAATTTGGGAAGAGTTGTCTGAATCAATTAAAAAAACATTAGATTGGATTGACAAAGATAATGAATAATACACAAACCTTATTAGTGAGAATACAAATTTAGCTGAATCCTCCTATACCGATTTAGAAAAACTAGTCTCCATTGTCTAAGGGAATACTAACTTAAATTCTTAAAGGACTTCTTAAATCATGGAGTTAGAAAAGATAAAGAGATAGTGGGACCAAGACATTCAGGCTTTTATCTCAAAGTAGAAGGAAATAATAAAATTAATCTCATCTATAATAAAGTATAAGAAGATTATTAATGTATAATAGGACTCAATCTAATACATAAGGTGGAACAAATAATTAATATAAAGAAGCTCCAAAAGAGTTACCTATCAAATAATAAGGCGGAAGGAATATAATTGCGTCAAATTTTGATTGGAAAAACTAGAAAGTATAAGAACTCAAGAAATTCGATGGTCATTCATCTTATGTCATATCAGTTTGTTTCTCTCCTGATGGTACTACCCTAGCATCAGGTAGTTATGATAAGTCTATACGTTTATGGGATCTTAAAACAGGATAGTAAAAAGCCAAATTAGATGGTCATTTATCTTCAGTCGACTCAGTCTGTTTCTCTCCTGATGGAGCTACCCTTGCATCAGGTAGTAATGATAACTCTATACGTTTATGGGATCTTAAAACAAGCTAGTAAAAAGCCAAATTAGATCATTCAGGAAGAGTCTGGTCAGTCTGTTTTTCTCCAGATGGTACTGCCCTTGCATCAGGTAGCGGTGATAACTCTATATGTTTATGGGATCTTAAAGAAAACTAGTATAAAGCCAAATTAAATGGTCATACTAATTCGGTTCAATCAGTCTGTTTCTCTCCTGATGGTACTATCCTTGCATCAGGTAGTTATGATAACTCTATACGTATATGGGATCTTAAAACAGGATAAAAAAAAACCAAATTAGATGGTCATTCATCTTATGTCTAATCAATCTGTTTCTCTCCTGATGGTACTATTGTTGCATCAGGTAGTCAAGATAAATCTATACGTTTATGGGATCATAAAACAGGATAATAAAAAGCCAAATTGGATGGTCATTCATCTCGTGTTAATTCAGTCTGTTTCTCTCTTGATGGTAGTTGTTTAGCATCAGGTAGTTTGGATTGTTCAATACGTTTATGGGATCTTAAAACAGGATAATAAAAAGCAAAATTAGATGGTCATTCTAGAGAAGTCATGTCAGTTTGTTTCTCTCCTGATGGTACTGCCCTTGCATCAAGTAGTGAAGATAAGTCTATACGTTTATGGGGAGCTAAATAGGATAAATGAATAAGATGATTTATATTATTAAATAAGGAGATTAATGTTATTTTATTTATTGTAAAAATATACTTATTTGTAATTTTAATCATATATTATATAATTAAAAATACAAATAATTTGCAAGTAGTTTTGTTTTATTTATGAAACAAGCTATCAAATACAAACATTTATGATTATATTAAAAGTTAGTAGAATATAAATAAATTGATATATTCTAACTACTTTCATATCTTCCTTTTTTAACTTCTCCATCCCACCTCTTATTTTATTTTTAGACTCCACATCTTACTCATTGTCATAATCTCCTTTGTTACTCTACCTAAATACATCTTTTGACTCATTATCTTTCAATTCAACTTCAAGCTCGTCTCATTCTACTCAACCTCAACCCCATCTAAAAATCCCCATTCTCATCATCAACTCCAACTTACCCCTTTGTGTTTATGAATTTTCATAGAACGGCCTCATATCTTTACTTAACTCCTCGACCCATTTTCCACCTCTAACTCAACTTCAACCTCAACCTAAACCAAAATTTTCAATTTATTGGTTATGAATTTGCTACAAAAAATAATTTATCAGTTTAATCATAAACTGAAAAAAAAGATAATAAGAATACTATTTGAAAAAATTCCTTATTACTAAAAAACAAATTGAAAAATTAGTATATAAATTAATAATTTCAACAATCATTTCTGAAAAAAGGCAGATTGCAAAATATTTTCTAAGTTTTATATGTCAATGATAATGATATAATATGCTCTAAAGATATGAAAACATATTTTTAATAGAGTGGAAGTAAATTTTTTCAAGCAAGAAAGACAAATTTAATTTCTTTATTTTGTCGGATAATTGAATTATGCATTTATAAAATAATAATTCTTTTTATTAGATGATGGCAAAATCAATTTATAATTTTAGCTTTGTTTAATTACTCTTTAATGCAATAATCACTGGCTTATAATCTTCACATAGATTAGTATCAATTATAATCACTTGCTTAAAATAATCTTTACATAGATTGAAATGAATTTTGTATTTATTTTTTATTTAGAAAAACAATGAAGAAAATTGCATAAAAGTGATATAGAAGACTTACTTATTTAGCAAAAAATTGTGTACAAAGACTCAAAAATTTCACTTAATGTTTGGAGGTTAGAGGCAATTTATAATTTTTTTTATGGACTTTTTATAATGTTAAACGCAAAATAAATTTTAATTTACCAATAATATCTAAAAGCCCAAAGAGAAGGTTTAATTTAAATTAGCCTTAAAAGATGAAATCAGGAGGTGAAAGCTATTTCAAAAGCAACATGGCTTTAAGAAAAAAATAAAAATAGAAAAAAAAAATTTATAAAATATGTTAAGAAAAATAATAATGATAATGAATTACGGATATGCTAAAGTTTCATCAAATACAATTGATGTTTTAAATGAAACATTTTCTCTTAAAAAATATAAGAGAGAAAAAGAGTATAAGCAAAAAGATGAATCATTCAATTATGATAATTAATTGTGGGATACTTTGAGTAATAGGATCAGGTTATAATTTTAAAAGAATTGTGTGAATTATGAAAAGACTCTCCTCATAAAACTGAATAAATTGGACTCTCTTTTGTTAAAGTGATAAAACAGAAACGATCGTTAGTTGAACTTAATCAAACAAGAAGCAAATAACAGTATAGTATCTAATCAATGAAGAATTCTCATCCATCTCTTTAAAAAGAAAAAAATAAAAAGTAGGGGTTCAGTAATCTCAGTTTTACTTTTTAACTACTCCTGAAAAATTGAATGCGAATAATTTAACTATTATTTTCTAGTAAATTAATAAAATATGTTGTTTTTTTTCGATTTAATATAAATAATCTGGATTAATCTTGTTGTTCTGATTTTAAAATTGATCTATATATTAATTGAATTAATCAAATTTGAAAATGTAAAGTTTATAATTTACATTACTTTGCATAATCCCTTTTGCATATAAAATGTAAATTATCTTATTATCTTAATTGATGTAACTAATTCTTAAAACAAATTTATAATTTAAATTTAAATTTACTTAAATCCTGATTTCAAATTATATTCTTAGTTTATTAATTTAATTTTCTACTTAATTCGAGAAAGAATCATAAAAATTTTCAGTACACCATTAGATTTATATATTAAAGAAATTACTCATGGATGTGGAATTATTAAGAGGGAAAGTATAAGATTCAAGGTATTATAGATGGTAGGAAGTATGAGAACAGTTTATAAGTATTCTAAACTTAATGGTATGATAATTAATAGAAAAGGGAAAAGGAGAATTTTGATATACTCAATTTCGAAGATTTATGATATTCATATATATATTCTAATAATCATTATGATGAATTAAATAAATTGTTATTGATTGTTGATATCAGTTTAATTGGGTTAATTATCAGAAGTAATATTATTTGATTATTAATGGTGTTTATGATATATATTTATGTATTTATATATATTAAATATTGTTAAAAAATATAAGAAAAAACAATAAAATTAATATTAAAAATTTCTAATTTATTTATCAATCTTATTAATGATCTCATTCTAATATTATAAGACTTTTTAACGCTCATAACTAACTATTTCCCTACCGTAATTGCTTTTTGACTTTTTTTATCAAATAAATTACTACTTAAAATTCTCTCAGCAACTAGAACTTCAAACATTCTTCAGGCTTAATTGATTTATTTGTCTTTCATAATTTCCAAGAATTATACTGCACATACAGACTGCCTTATTTATAATAATTCTTGATAGTAATCATTTCCTACCATTCTAGCTTCATCTAAAATTTTTAAATTTAGAAAAGTTTTGTTTAAATTAACAACAAGTTCTTATAAGTTCATTTATAATCTATTTAATAGTTCTGTGCTCACTTTTTGTTGTGGAACTGTTTTTTAGTTTTTACAAGGCTTTTTTGATTTCTATTTTTAACTTTATTTTGAACGATAAAAAAACCCTAGCATAAGTGGCCAAATCTTAAATGCTTCATCTAATTAAAAACTTTAGGTTTAAAGTAAGAATAATTTAATTGAGTTAAATCAATTTTATACTTTCCTCTATTTCAATTAAACCTGTCTAATTTACATAAAATATAAAATGATTTAGAATTTTCAAATCATGTTGATTATTAAATTGAACTTAAATTATTTATTGATTAAAAAAAATAAATCAACAAATACTTTTCTTAATATTAATGTAGGTATTGTCATAGAACCTGCCATAACAACTTCTAATAAATCTTTCATTCCAAAAATTGCATTTATTTCTGAGTTTACGAATGAAAAACCCAAGTATAATCTTTATTTACTGTTAAAATATATATAAAATACTAAGGTCTCTAAAATTTTTATTATGATATATTACCAGCTGTTGTGATACTCTTTAATTTTAATGAGTAACCTTAAGGAAATGGATTTTCCAAATCAAGCTTCACAATGTTTAAGTAATAAATTTCCTAAACATTTGGCATTTATTCGAAGATTTTTTAAAAAGGAAAATTACATTCTTCAGATCTAAATTATATTGTGGTCACAAATAAAACTGAGTAAGTATAGCTTTCTAGTCTAAGTGATTGATATATCTTTATTCAGATTTATGATCAGCTACTGTAGAAAAAAAATGTAAATACATAAAACATTAAATAATCAATATGAAAAAAATGATACTTATACACTATTATTGATATTTTAACTGATATCTTTAAGTAAGACTGTTAAACTTTTAATTTTATTTATTAAATTCAAAATTTTGTTAATCTCTAAAACCATATGTGTATATTCTTAGAAATATTTGTGACATGGGAACATTTTGATTTATTGTACAATTTATCTAATTTTAGTTAAATATTTATTCAAAATTATGGGAAACAATTTAATTTAATAAAAGTAATTACTATAACAATGATTAATTGAATATCATTAATACTGATATATAATTAGTAATCATTACTTAAATAATGTTCATCATAATTAAATTGAGGATTATCAAAAATTGATTTTCTGAAACATTGAAGAAATTATAAGTTTAGGATTTCAAACCATAAAAGCATTCTAATTTACAATATTATCAAATTAAATATGATTGTGAAAGACTTGTAAATATCGAAATAGCAGTGTTCTTTACTTTTCTAAATTCCTCATATTAATGATCCAAATTTATGGCTTTTAATCGTCAAACATCCCTCCAATTACTATTTAATTTGCATTCTTCTCAACCATACTAATAATTATGCTATATACTTACTTCATATGTATTATGATGATATTATAAATAATAAATTATTTTCATAGTAAGCATTAAAGTACCAAAAAATTAAGTAAGCTTTCTTATTAAGACTTAAATCTAATAATTTAATATATTAATATCTAATAATACTTTTTATTAATATTTTATAAAACATTAGATTTTTTTATTTGAATTAAATAATAAACTTTGAAGATAATTTGTTTATGAATGAATTAGCAAAATTATTAGACTCCATGTTATAAAGAGAGGGTTTGGAAAATAACGAATACCTTCTACGTAATTTAACCCCAAATTTATTAATTCCATTATCATCACTTCAGAAAGTAGAAGCTTTAATTTAATATCATTCCTTATAAATTATTGATGTAATAAATCTATATTTCATACAGGCTCTAAATTAATGTAGAAATTGTAAATTACACAAGTAGCATATTTAAGTCTTGATACAACCAAAAACTACAAATATTATTATTAATGATATTGACTCAAAAAATTCTGATTTTAAAGAATAATTGATTGAAAAATATCTTAAAAACATAGATTATGAAATTTAAGTTAATGGATATGTTAAAATTATATTCAAAAACTTTGATGATGGTTTAAATTTGTAGAATAAGTGCAACATATATACTAAGCATATGTAGAACCAGAAAACGTATTCTAAAGTTTAATATAATCGTTAAAGCGGGGCAATAATATTCTATAAACTCCTTTATAATATCAAATTAAATCACATTTTAAATTATACTTTTTGAAGGGTAATATTTTTTTAAAATATCAGGTCTTGATAATCGTTAACTTTCCTATATTAATTAAAGGTAATTGCTTCATTTTACAAAAATGGATCCTTATAGCCACTCTTTCATAGTTTACAGATAAAATTCCTATAAAATAATTGAAAAATATAAGATTAATTAAAAAATTCATATTAACTTAAAGAAAAGATAAATAATTGGTAATAAAATTTAACATGGATAACTCCATATTATGCTGTAAAGAGTAATCCAATTAATATTTTATTGGAGGATATTGTAACTGGACCTTATGGAACTTTTGACTGTGCTTCTAAAGAAGTATAAAAAATATTATTGATTAGGAAATAAAAAAGGTACTTAAATTAGGAATTCCTGGATCAAAAATAGTATTTAGTAATACAGTAAAAGAGGAGAAAGATATTTTCTTTGCAATATAAAATGGTATTTAGATTACATGTGCAGATACAATAGATGAACTTATAAAAATTTAAAATATAGCACCTGAGATGAAAATATTATGGAGATTGTCAATAGTTGAAGAGAATCCAGAGTAAATGACAACTATTTTTTCTGGTAAATTTGGAGATGATTTACCAAATATAGAGGCTATACATAAAAGATTTTAGGAAATTTAAAAGTTAGGAATCAAAATTTATGGTATACATTTTCATTGTGGAAGTGGATCATCTTCATTTAGTAAAGTAAATTATCATTATAATAAAGGCTATTGATTTGGCTAGAGAATGTATGAAAATAGGTAGAGAATATGGACATACAATGAAATTACTTGATGTAGGAGGTGGATATCCAACAGGTATTATTTAAGAAAATATATTGACTGCTTTGAAAAAAACAAAGGATGATCCTTTAGGATATGATGTAATAGCTGAGCCAGGTAGACATTTTAGTGCTAACACTTGCTATCTTTTGTTTAGAGTTATGGCAAAAAGAATTAAATAAGGAAAATTATGTTATCATGTAAATGATTCCTATTATCATTCATTCAACTGTTTAATAACTGATGGAGTTACTTTTGAAAATTAAAATGATTAATTTTATGGAGTCTAAACATCCGATTTAACTGATATAAATATTACTGATCAATAAAATGTATCAATCTTTGGAATGACTTGTGATGGAGCAGATATTATAGCTAACAATATTAAACTTCCTAATAATATTGAAGTTGGTGATTGGTTATGCATGGGTGGTATGGGAAGTTATACTATTGGCCCTAAATCCAAATTTAATGGAATGAAATGTACAACTAAAGTCTATAAATGGGCCTGTAAAATAAAAGAGTAAGGCTAAAAATAATCTTTAATTTGAGAATTTTAGAATAATAACATAAATAATTACATAAATCTTTTTAAGAAATTATATTTTTCTATTTTATATTTATTTAGAGAATTTAATCCTTTAGAAAACCTTTGAAAAAATCAAATCTATTTAAAGTATTTTATTCACAATTTTAAAGAGTAATTTTTTTTTCAATTAAATATCTATCATTTTCTTTGAAAATTTTTATACTTTTATTTAAAATAATACATTATCATATAACCTTTCATAGATCAATATGGACAGTAAAAAAAGAAAAGCTAATTTAATATTATATATGAAATAATTAAAAAAATTTCATTAATAAATAGCAAAATTTATAGTGAGATTAATTTTTAATTTAAGCTATTTTAAAATAATTAATCTTTTTCTAATTTTAGTATTTCCTTTAATCTTAACTCAAAGATATGCAATAATTGATGCATAGATCGTTAGACTTTTCCATATTATCTACTCTTTTTCCAATCTGAAATTAGTTGATTACTATTCTTTAATATTTATAATCATTTACTCATAAATGCCTAATAATTGGATTAAATTTTCATGGTAAATTATATCACAAAGTCTCAGTTTATTTAATATTTTCAAGTAAACTTGAGCAAACAAGTTGAACTTAAAAATACCTTTACAAAAAAGCAATGGGAGTTGGAGTAAGGATAATCGATCTAATTCTTATAGCTGAATATGAAAATATCGAAAAATTATACTAGAGGAAAATTAGTCTCTTATTCTACTTTTTTAACTTCAATTTCTCTGTATCGGATTAAAGCAATAGAGATGTTAGTGCAAACTCTGTAATAGACATTTTTTTATCTGAACTACTTGTTCGGTTTAGACAACCAGCTGATATAAATTATCATTTCCATCAATATTTCATATATTTTGATTGCCTTTATGATAGGGTTCTAATTCCCTTAAAAATATAATTCAATAATTATAGAATAGAATCTAATGAATTCATTTTATGCCAATTTCAAAAACAAAATAGAACTGCTTATAGATTTATATAAAATTAAGTTAAATCATTTTCCCTTTTATTATAAGAACTGTTAGTTATTAGGTGAATTTTCTTTTCAGTTGCTAAATTATTTTCTCCTTGATTTACAACTTATCCTTTCATTCTTATGATTACCTCAAATTTTCAAAGGGTTTTCATTATGTGATATTAGACCATATGTAATTGTGCTATTTAGAATAAACAATCAAGGAATCATTTTTATGAATTTAAATTATTTAATTTTTAAACTAACAAAAGAAGCAGAAATTTTCTTAGTATAGTATAAAACATCATTCAATAAAGTATTTAAAAATAAGAAAATATATTTAATTAATTTTTATATTGAACTAAAAGTTCAAAAACTTTATACATTCTTTTGAGTTGAGTCTCAAATGGAACTTATCAAAAACTTTCATATGAAAATTAGTGAGGAGATAAGATTCCCATTGTATATGACTTGGGATTAAGTAAACAATTTTTTTTCAATGATCGAAATTTGGATTTAGAAGCCATAACTTATAAAGTAGTCCATTAAAATGGTTTAAAGTTACTTCATATTTTTGTTAAATTCCTTAGTCATTTATGAATTTGATTGTTAAGAATTAGAATGTAGAATTTATAAATAAAGAATTGATTGAATTTGATATTAATTAATTGTATAATTAACAACTGATAAGGAATGCTTTTAGTGATATTGGATGAAAAAATAGTTCCTAAAATGATTACTTATTTTAGATAAAATTTATAAGAATAATTTTTATAAAATACTCTTTATTTTATATGAATACTAATTTAATTAAGTGTCCTATCATTTATGAAAATAACTTAATTCTTTTTCTAAATTTGATTTATTGATTTTGTATCTTTCATCAGAATTTATAAATATTGCTAAGTTATAATATATTAGAGCTTCTAATTTGAGATTCATTTTCTTTAAAGAATTAGCTAATTATTATATAGAATAATTCACCTATAATAAAGTTAAGCTCCATATTTTCAAAACCATTTGAAATTCCATCAATACAGCATTAAATTGTGTTATCGAACATTTTTAATTCAAATAAGCAAATAGCTAAAATACTAATATTATTAACCTTTATTTTAATATATTTCACTATTTTCTGGATCTGCTTTTATTGCCAAGTCATAATTCTTGAGAGCTTCTTCATATTATTCAAGCTTAAATAACACAATCCCTTATATAAATTAGGCTAAATACCTTTATTATTAAAATTTTTAGCGTCATTAGGATTCCTTAAAATAGCTTAATCACAACTTATTAATGCTTCCTCTAAATTATTTAATTTTATTAAATTAGTTGCTAATAATTAAAGTAATGGTATACCATTTTGACTGAAATTTAAATCATTCTCAGGATTTATATTAATCCCTAAATTACATACTTCCAGTGCTTCTTAATATCTTTCCATTTCATATAACAACAATGCTAAAAATAATCAAATAATTTACCTTTTCCTTAATAAAATCGATCGTCATATTTGTTTATTCTAATGGCTTCATCATAATTTTCTAATGCTTCTTCGAACTTATACATATACTTTAAAGTATTAGCTAAATTCTAAACTTATTTCAACCTTTATGGTAGAAATTCAAAGGATCTTCGGGGTTATATTGAATAGCCTAATTTCGATTATACAGAGCTTCTTCAAACCGACTTAATTAAATTAATGTGTTTGCTAAATAATCAAACTGGTGATTTAAACCTTTATTTGAATAGATTCCAGAATTTGACCCATTTTTTTAAATAGCTAAGTCGAATATTTCTAAAGCTTCCTCATAACGCATTAATAGATGTAAAACAATAGCTATTATAAAAATACAATGAACCTTTATTCTAATAGTATTCGCTTTTATCTTTATCAATCTAAATAGCTTTATCATAACTATCCAAAGCTTCTACTTGACGATTAAACTTTTATAATATAACACCTAAAAATATAGATCCTCATTTAACCCTTCTAAAAATGCAAAATACTATTCTGAGGATTCTTTTCAAGAGATATTTCAATTATTTTAATAGAATTTTCATATTAGCCCAATTATGATAAAGTTTGAGCTAAAAATTATTTTTTATTACCTAAATAAGGATAGATTTAAAAATCATTAGAATCTAATTAAATTGCTTTTAAAAATTATTCTTAAGCTTCATAGAATCTATTTAAAATTTCTAAAACAATTCCTACACATTCAGAATCTATTAATACCTTTATTTATATAATTTTTAGTAATTAAGGGATTTTTTTAAATAGCAAGATCATAATTCTATAATGCTTCTTCATTAAGATTTAATCCCTTTAATGCAAATGCTTAAAATAATTGTTTATAAAACAACCTTTAATACTATAACTTACATCATTTTATAGATCTATTTATATTGCTGAATCAATTATATTTATAGCTTCTAAAAAACGACTGCAATCAATTAAAATGTTTGCTTGTATTTTATAAAAAAGTTTACCATATTGTTAATAGGCGTAAACTTTGAAGGGGTCTAGTTAAATGGCGTAGTTTAGATTTTTTAGAGCTTCTTCAAAATATTGCAATTTATGTAATGCTAAAGCTAAAATTACTCATTTGCAGCAACCTTTATTAATATATTAATCAATTCCAATTGGATTTAATTAAATTGCATGATCACAATATGCTAATGCAAGTTCAAATTGATTTAATTGAATTAGAATTGTACTTATATTAATATAATGATCTTCATTATAAGGTTCTTGTAGTCTTGCTTAATCGCTTTCGTAAAGGGCTTCTTCATATTTACTTTATTTAAATAATATGATAGCTTGAATAATTTAAACTATATACCTTTATTTTTTAAAAAAACAGCATTTTACTTATATTTTAATATTGCATTATTACAAATTTAAATAGCTTCATCATAAGTTCCTTGGTTAATTAATGTATTAACTAATGATATTTAAAGAATACCATATTAGTTTTAGCAATCAATATCATTATTTTCAATATAAAATGATTCTTAAAGAATTTATGGCTAAGATTGATTTTGGTTATAATTTTATCCCTCAATTACACTTAGATTGAGCGATTTTTTTCTTAAACTATCATTTCCTGATAAATATAATCTCTTATGTATAAAATTTTCTTGAATAAATATATTATTGTTTTACCTTTTATTTGTTCACTTTTTTATAAGAATAAAAGTCCCTTCTATTTGAAATGTTTTATTCTCTAACAAATTGTTTGGAAATTTCTTCTTTAGAAGCATTTACACTAATAAATCAGTAATTCTAGTTTTAGCAGGAGCATTATTATTAAAGTGATAAAATGTGAAATAAATAATTATGGATTGGTTGGTGCAAAATTAAAAAATTTAATTGGGAATTAATTATTATTGAATCTTTAATCTTCATTCAAAAATATGTTAAACAAAAAATTTCTAAAGCTGAAATGCTTCTTTTGAATATTCTTTATATTCACTCCAAAAAAGTGTGGATATATAATTACGATCAAAGAATGTTTAATAATAATTTTTAACAGTTATTTGAATGTAAAAAGTATATTATTGGAATCTGAAGAATTATTAATTATCATTATAATATCAATCCTAAAAGAATTAACAAAAAGTCAGTTGAAAGGATGTTTTTCAATAGTTTTCTAAGTACAATTTTTAGATAGCTTTTGATGTTCTGGGGTTGATGTTTAATCTTATTTACAAAACTTTTCATCATCATAGGTCATAGGCTTATTAAATAGATAAATTATTTCTTAATCTGAAAAACTTATTGCTAAATTCGATCATTGTTTTAGGATTTAGCCACATTAAATCAAATAAATTATAAAGTTGGAGATTAGAGAATCAATAATGGATAATCGATAATAACCCATAAGATGATTATAGTGTATGCTAAACATGTGATATTTAAATTAATCTATCATAAATATATATATAGATATTTTTAGCTTAATTTAGAATCCAAGTCTAACTCCTATAAACTAAATATTGTGAATAATAACTTTTTAATAAAGAACCTATTACTAAAATAATTCAACCTTCCTTGAATAATTTTTTATAAATAATTGTTATACTAATAACTTAATGTTTGATATTAAATTAAAAATTTTTTTTTATAGAATAAAAATTAATTACAGTTAATATATTTACCTTATTAAATGAAGTATCTTAAGTAGTGTAAGAGTGACAAGTTATCTTTAGTTACAGAAGCATATTACAATAAATTAAGCTATAATCTAGGATAATCGTTTATCATTAATCCTATTGATTCATCCCTTACACAATAATCAAGTTTGAAACGGAGATCTATGAATGTGAATAAACCTATTCAGAAACAACATAATAAAGTTATTTAAGATTTCTACTGGTATTTTGAGTAGGTTTTTGAACTCGATTTTTCAAACCTCAAATATATTGATATTTTTATCTAAATTGTATAATAAAGGCCAAACAGATGAAAGTGAAAGGATAAGATGAAGTAAATTAGAATAAAATTGACCAATCTCTAAATCTCTCATAAGTAATATAAACGTATTTGACTAACACCAAAGAATAAATTAAGTCAGAAGTAAGCGAAAGATTAAGTTTATCTTTTAATGTAAAAAATAGATAAATTAAAAAATTCGAAATATAAAAAGAAGAAAAATTTAAAGTCTATTAGGAATAATTTTTATGCTCATTTTCCATAATGCAACTCTTTGATTGCAATTAATTCTGGTTCTTGATATTTAAATGTTATAAAAGAAAATGAAGATAAATTCAAATTAACCTATATTATAATCTTATTTGAGTTGATATCTAATTTAATATAAATCAAATTATTTTTAACTACAGAAAAAAAATTACAATTCTGTGGAAAGATTTTATACTTGTATAAATCTACATATTAATTTTTCTTAACTTTATTAGAATATTTTATCCATTTGAACTTTATAAATAATATTGATGCAACTCAATAAAGGCATCTTTTAACTTAATTTAAATTAATCTACTAGAAGAAACCAATATTAAAAAATTGTTATTTTAACTATAAAAATTAAGTTTAAAATTTATATTTATTTAACTAATTGAAAAGTATTTAAATTACTATTCTCATAGATATTTAATTTTCTTACTTTCAAAAAATCTCCTATCTTTGTAAATTTTCATTTATTTAAATATTCTATTATGTTATAAATATAGTTTTTGTATTAATCTTCTTTATTCATATGAATGATATCAATATTTTTAAGAACTTCTAATTTGAAATTTAAATTTTAATAAATATATACGTATATAATCTCAAAAAAAAATTGAAATCATATAATTAACTAAAAATATGATACAATTATCAATTTGAAATTTAGGATTATATAGAGTATTAAAGATTGTAAATCTCATATATAAATACTACTTCATTGAGTTAATATAAGTTTTAAAGTAATTTCGGTTTCTGTATTTTGATATTTAACTTGATTTGTAAATAATAGAATAATAATGAAAGAAATATTATTATTTTTAGTAAAGTTTAATATTCGGATATTCAGAAAAATAGAAAAATGAAATAATATATATAAGTTACTGGAAAAACAAAAATATTAATCAAGTATATAATGATGGTGGTTTAATCTTTTCAATATGTTTCATTCCACATACAAAAGAAGAGAAAAATCTTTAAAAATTGTTGTCTATAAAATATATATTTGCACATTTCTTTAATATGATCAGTACAACTAATCATTTAAGATTTATTATTCTTCCATCGATTTCCTTAATCCCTCTTCAAAATAAAACATAATTCTTAATTGAATAAGGCATCACAATATCTAATATAGTATAATTAACAAGAACGTTAAGGTATAAATATAGAAAAACCAATGTATTCAAAATCTTAAAATTATTATGAACAAATTCAATTAAGTTGAGAATCAAAAACAATCATCTTAAAATAACCCTATTGTGATAGCACTAGTATCCATTTTCTTTAAGCATATAATACTAATTTAAATTTTCAATCTTATAACAATCAAAAAGGGGCATTCATTAAATAATCAGTACATATTGCATATATTCATCACTTTTAGAAATATTCTAAGCACAATTTGATGTTGTATTATGTTGTATTACATTTAAATTTGTTGTAATATTGATTACAACCACTATTTTAAAAAATTGAGATATTCCATTTACAGTTTGCTTATTCAGAACATTTAACTTCATGATAACTTAGAAATTTTGCTTTATTCTTTGTTAGATACAATATTGAGTAACATAAAATAAACATTTTCATAAAAATAATTAATGAAAATAGAATCGATATTTTACATCAATATGATTAATAATATTTGATTTTTAAATAAATTTGAATTAATATTATTCATAAGAAATTAGGATAAATTGTCATTATAATTACAAAAGAACTAACTTTAAGCATAAAGAAAAATCCCTACTATCCTCTTTCTCAATCAATATAATTCACCTCAGAAAACTGTTAAATACATCCCTTAATAAACAAGTTCCTGATAAAGATTTCAAGATTGGCTTATCTAAAAGATATACCGAAATGAATATTGTATATGGATTTTGATGGAAGATATGATTAAAAGATTTTATAGGATAGATTATAATCAAGTAAAATGTAAATTGTTATTTAGCTACTTAATAATAATTAAGTATTAAGTATTACATTAGGAAAACAAAAAAAACTGAATGGAGAGTAAGAGTAATTACTATTAGAAGGAGAAGATTATTTAAAAGTAATTAATAAGATTTATATTATAATAGATTGTGATGAAATATATAAGAAATTTAAGTATGAGTAATTTTAAATTGATTATAGAGATTTCTTAAAACAGTAAAAATTCAATATGCATAAAAAAATATTAATCAATTATTACTATTTTTTTAATCCATTAATATATTGAAAGAATTCTCTCTATTTGATCATCATTAATTTTTTTTATTTGATTTTATCTTCAATACTTAAATTAGTCAACGTTCTGACTTCTTCTTGTTCATTTTAAACTACCTAATCTTCTTTTAATTCTGATTCCTTATTTTCACTTAAGATATTGGGTGGATTCATATTTATAAATTATTTATTTATTTTAATATTTTTGAACAAAAATTAAAATAATGTATACTAAATACTAAATGAACCAATTAATTTTTAGTGTAAATTCGATACACTTATTAGAAATAATGATAATTTTTGAATAAGATTATTTAATCTTGAAATTATTTTTTCAAGATATAAATATGTTGAACTTGAAATTAATTGATTTTTTCATAGATTTTATCAATATTGTATTTTTTCAAAATTTCATCAATCTTAAATTTAATAATTTATTATTTAGTATATTAATTTTTTTTGGGATATTTCTTCGAAGGAAAAGAAGATAGTTATTATAATTTTCTCAAGGACATAAATACTTAAAAAAAATAAGCTTTAAAGAACTTTTTTATAAAATCCACAATAATCTTTTTCAATCCAATTTAATATACTAAAATTATTGGTTTTCAAAATATATAATTATAGATTCTATATTTTGTAATAGGCAATCTTATATTCATTAAGAATTCACAAAAATTTTCACTTAATTAATGAGAATTCATTA